GGCAAAATCACCCTCACAGCCAGTCAATTTTCCTATTGCTGGCCCTTAATAAAACCCCTGAGGTTCATTCTGTCAGAAGAAACTTAATGACATAAAAAATGGCACAAAATATTGTCACATAGTTCAATATTAACTGCAAGTCAGGAAAGGATGTGCCATTTAAAAATTTTCTCAATTAAGTGCCCCCGAGCATGTATTTCAAACTTGCCTTCATTGATCTACCATTTATTTGACTTTTGCAGTACATTCGAGGCTGGAGTTTATTAGACTTTTCATTTATTATTTTGAGAGCTAAATGTCTTGTAATTATAGCTTACTAAGTTTATTATACCTTGAATACGAAATCCTTGAGGGTCTTATTTACAAATCTACCTGGGAGACATGGCATTTTCTCGGGACCTAGCGTTTAATAAAGAGAAACTTTGGTATATTGATAATCTGCCTCTGTGTGTCCATCAAAACATACTTTCTCACATTCCATGATATTATGCAAATCCCACAATTAAAGAATTAGACAGATGATTTCCAATTTCTAGATTAAAGAGTAGTGGACATATCTTGTATCACGTTTCGCTTTCAAAGCTGATCAATCACCTGTGCTTATGATAGACAGCTGACAGTCAAGATCTGCTTGCTGATTATTCAGTCTACACAACCATATGTTGTAAGACAACTGACTTGTCTAAATTGGAAGTGATGAATAGCACCCCAATGTATGTTTTTCACCTGCTAAATGACATTGTCGATTATCTGCAAACTATTGGTCAAGAAATCAATTCCAATTTGTCAAGCACCTTTATAATTGTGTATTGGCTTTGATGTAATTTACAATAGCTAGTGCAGCTTTCTACTGATTAAGAGAGGATTTTGCCATTAAATTAAATTGCTCAGTCTAATAGGTCTTAAAATTGAAAATTTACAATATGGTATCATTCAGTTTACAATTATGCCCATTGTCAATTTGTGTGTTTTCGTATGGATTGCTGGCTGAAAGTTTTAATCACTTGTCCTTTAGTTTTGCCTCTTGTAAACTGCTGTTGATATAA